TCTAACTACGTAGTTAACTTCTTACATCTTTCACCCAGAGAGACTTGTTGTTTCAGAGAACTAATATTTTCTCTTTCCTTTGCAGAAGGAGCACTTTCTTTCCTGTTACTGGAGCGTAAACAGTCCTGTCTTGCAACATCACGATGCCAGTCTGCCGTATCTTGAGCAGTATCGGATCGATTGCCAGCAGTTCAGGGTTCTCTGCCATCTCCTGAGCCCCTGGTCACACTGTGCAAACAGAGACTCACTTGCTCTGTGGACATTCAGACTGGTGGATGAGAGCTCCGATTGCCTTATAAACTTCAAGCAGTTTGCCTGTGTCCTTGGTACGGGAACAACACACGTACTGGCACAGTCACAGGGGAGCTCTGTCCTGGGAGCAGTTCTGGGCTGTATCATCTTCCACCCACTGCTTTTATCATGTGACAGGATAATCCTATTTGAGATTAAATTTAGATATGGCTTAGCCATCAAAAATCTGAAAATTAGGAAATGGTGTGATCTTGTCGCTCAGCTTGTTTGCTTGATGATGAATGTTTCCTCATACTAAGTCATCTCGTACGCAGATCATGCAGGATGACCAATGCCTCATATCTCTGGGGAACTGAAAGTTTTCTTGACTCATTGCTCTGTTCCATTCATCCTGTTCAAAGTGGTATTGTTCAGGAAACAAAAATATAAGGGAAATGGTTGAGAAGATGTTAGTGCTATGTTTCTTTGGTGCTCTGGTTTTATTTTAGTAAGTCATAGACATTATTAGTGTTCTTTCCTCGGTGTAGGCTCAGCACAGGTGATACTCCTTTCCTTAAGTCTCATCCCTAGTTGTACTCCCTGTAAGGTAGGGCACGTGTCCAGTTCCAACCTCGCTGGGGTGTATTTGTTTAGGTTAAGAGGGTGTTTTAAAGGTTGGTCCAGTTGAATGCTGTCCTCTTTCCTCTAACAGATACCATGTATAATGGAAGCTTCACTGACAAACTCAAGCTTCTTTTTAAGTTGCACATCCCTCCAGGTAAGTGGGAGGCATTTGGGGAGAGATGTTTCTGGCCTTTGTTGTCTTTATCACTGCTTTGGTAATGCTTGGGAGCCCCAAACCTACTTTATTCAATTATTTATTGCAGCTTTTACTGAAGTAGCATCTCTAAGCCCTTCCAAAGGGGATGATCTTTCAAAAGAAGAACTGATCCACTTCAGCCAACTCAATGGTAAGCTCCAGGGTGTGAGGCTTTGCCTGCAGGATATTAAAAGGAATCTATTAATTATCTCGTGAAAAATGGGGAGCTCTCTTATGAAAACTAGTAAATCCAGTAAATCATATCACTGTTAACAGAATCCTCTGCAAAGGTCTTCTGCAGTAGTTACAGTTTAATAAAGAATTTGTGGATAGCTTGTCTGATGGTTGAATTTCAAGGCTGTGGGTGTTTACATGGAAATAGAGAAGTGTATCTGGTCAGCATTTTTCAGCACAGTAAGCAGCCTGCACTTTTGCATCCCAGGCATAAAGGAATAATATTTTTCCTCCTCAAGAAATAAAATACCTAAATCCATAATTATTTTGAGATGCATAAGCAAGTGTTTCAAACTCCTTTGCTTTCATTTTAAAGCAAGTGAGCTGAAAAAATTTTTATGGGGGCGAAGTTTATGGAATTGATAAAATACTGTTCAAATACTCTGTTTGGGAAGCTCTGTGATTTTTGAAATCTACCCCCAGTACCTTATCTGTAATACACAGGTACTGTTCTTGTCACTGTTCAAGTTGGGCACAGTGAACATTATGAAGATTATTTGTTTAGTATAACTGATGGCAGTTTCTTTTGTGATCTGCTAGCTCACAGTAGCTTCTATTTTTATAGAAAGCATACAAATCTTATCATGTAGTTTCTTGACCTAATCTGTGCTGAGAACACAGGGGCTGTTGAGGGTCTTGCTCCTTAAGGAAGGAATTTTTGATAAAGGAAATGAACCATTGGTCCTCTTTTCTCAAATAAATAACTCTTTCTTCATTTTCTTCTCCTAAACTGTAGTTTCATCTGTTGGGGATAGTCTTGGAAGTGATTCTTTGAAGAGCAGCCCAGAAAAAGGTAAAAAATCGTGGTGACACATTTGGTAGTTGTGTCTTTTGGGGGAGTAGAGCTGGGAAACTGTGTGGTGAGAAAGTATTTTAAGTAACATCGTCCTTAGAGTACTGCTAACATTCTGTCCACTTTTACATCCTACGGGTGAGAGGGTAGTGGAAACTCTGATCCTGTTTAGTCCTTGGCCTCACCACTCTGTTGAGAAGGAATGACACTGAGGATACCAGTTCCTTTTGCTCATTATCCCTCATGGGAAGCTCTTAGTTATTTTTTGTTTATTTCTGTTTGTTTGTTGTTTTGTTTTGTTTTGTTGTCAAATAGGAAAAGGGAAGGTTGATATTCAAGCGTATCTGAAGCAATGGCAAGATGAACTTCTTAAAAAAGAAGAAAACATTAAGGATTTGCCAAGAATGAATCAGGTAAACTATCCGAGTCTTATGTAAGCCTGTTTTTGACTTGGAAGTTTATCTTTTAAGTCCTGTTACAATATTTCTAAAGGATTTGTAGGATCCCTTGAATTTCAGACTTTCACATTAATCATTAGACTGTGTGTTTGTAAAACTGCTGTAACTTATGAAGAGAGGGACTTTGAGACCCAGGTAGGTTTATCAGGGCTGGTCCATGGCCGTGCTGTCACCAGAGCAGCTGCACCAGGTGCCTGGCAGCAGCAGGCACTGAGCTGAGGGCACAGCCTGTAGTCAAACAGGATTGTGTTGCTGTTCTCTGAAGAGTCTCCTCTATATCTCTCTGTAGTCTCAGTTCATCCAGTTCTCAAAAACTCTGTACAATCTGTTCCACGGGGATCCTGAGGAGGAGCTGTTGTATCGGGCTATCGCCGTGGTTACCAGCCTCCTGCTGAAAATGGAAGAAGTTGGGAGAAGGCTGCAGGGTCCCACATCACTGGTCCAAAGTCCAGTTCCCATTACAGAGGTGCCTGCTGAAATCCCCAGGGAAGGGCAGCAGGAAAGCAGCTCTGAGCAGACTGAAGGCAGTAGAGCACAGAGTCTGAGAGGGAACCATGAGTGGTCTTTTGCCTTTGAACAGGTTCTGGCATCCTTATTAAATGAGCCGGCCTTTGTGAGATTTTTTGAAAAACCTCATGACATAAAAGTTAAAATAGAGAGTGCTAAAAATTTACAACTTAAAGCAAGAACCAGAGTGTAATTTTCTTTACCTTTGACTCTGAATTAACCACAAAGCGCTTAAAAATGAAGGTTGCAACTAAGGAAATCAAGTCTGGTGTTTACGTAGAGAAAGGAGTTTGCAGAGGTAGCTTTAAATATCAGATTACTGGTATGTAATGTAAATAAAAATAGTTTGAAGCACAATCACTTTCTTGCATTGTTCATAAGTTTCACTCGGAAAAAAAAAAGGACTGAATAACAAACTGTCTTTACCATGTTAGTAAAATATGCAATGTTGCTTGGAAGTACTGGGTGTGACCTGTTGCAAACCCATCTGAATGACTGTTGTTACAGTGTGTCTCTCCAGGTTCATTTCTATTACTGTGATAAGAGGAATGACTTCCTGCCATTTTCACTTAAAGGGAGTTTCAACAGCTTAGAGGTGGTCATCCACATTAGTTTAATTAGTTATTTCCAAATTTGCATGTGGACTGAGGTCAAAGCAGTGTGAAGGCTAAAAATAGAGGGTGTGGTAGGCACAAAAGCCTGAGATTAGAGAAGGAAGTGCTCTGCTCTCAATTCCTCTGCTTTGATGTTACCAATGGGCCTGGACTCTTGCAGATTCCAGCCCCTTGTCAGCAGTTTTCAGACTGAATCCTCCCAGCCCACATCTGTTTTTGCAACAAGCAGCTGGTTTCCTGCCTTTCTAGCTCAACCTCGAGTTCTCTTTCCCATTTTCATACCAATCCTCTTACAATGCAGGTAAAAAGGATGGAAGCTTGTTTGGTCATCCAGGCTGCACACGGATGCAAAAGCTAATACTGGTTGTTGAAATCAAAGGGAAAGCAGTGGCTAAATCTGTCTGGCCACATGGTGGTTGTCCTTTGTCTGGGAAGAGGAGCTTTTTAGGAGCATGTTGATGAAAGACAGAGTTTTGATGGTGTATGCAAAGACCAAGCCCAAACCATCTTTATCTGAGTGCTGAAGGGACAGATTGCAGTTGCTCCTTTGCTGTAATATTTTCCATCAGCCAGGATTCAAGGCAGCAAGAAAATCCCCTTGAATCTGACTTGAAATTTTAACACGTAGAAAATGATATAGCCAAGATCCTGTGGAGGCAAATTCTGCCAGTGTTAATGCTGAGAAATGTTGACCTTGAATCTTCAGTAGCTGGTGCTAGAAGGGGTTTAGAGAAATGTTTAAATTAAACCATAAATTAAACCTTTAAATTAAACCTTTAAACCTTAAAAAAAGGTTTAAAATGTCTTTTAAAAACAACAGAAAAATAAACTGGGACTCTGTGCTAAACTAGTTAAAAATGTCTGCTTCTAAAGCCTGTATGACAATCTTTCTCTGCAGAGCAGCATTATTTTTATACTGTGCATGTTTTTTTGTAAAGAAGCAGAATGGGGGTGGTATCATTCACTGAGGCTTTTCTTGCAATACTAATATGAATGAAGAATAAAATGAAGTTCTGGCTTGTGTTACAGGCACTTTGTGAAATGCCATCATTACAATCGATGTTAAATACAGTTTTCACAGGACAAATAAATTTATGAATTGTCTTATACTCTCCCCCATGCTCTCAGGTATTAATGTAAAATAAAGTTTTATTGAATGAACAGTCAGTTCAAAAGTTATATATGTGAGGAATGAGGAAGCATTTTTCAAAAGCCTTTACAAAGTAATTACACTTGATACAATATAGTGCTGATTTGTATTTTTATGCATAAAATGTAAGAATTAATTTATCCATTTATGTGGATATGGATAAGTAGGACCACGTTGTGTTACTAACTTTAAAATGTATTTACTCACTGTTTTCCCCAAAGTTGTTTTGAAATGCAAAGCAGATGATATTGTAGTTCTGGGCCAGGACGTACTCAGAAAAGGTTTGATCAGTGAGTAATTCTTCTGCAAATAGCTGTGACGAAATTAATGGATCCCCATAAAAATAGATGCAGCTGCCCATCCCAGATGCTTTTGTAGGTATGAGGATATTATTGTTTATGCCAAGAAGTAGTCAAAGCTGTGAACTGTTTGCTAAGCAAAGTAACAGAGATATGGAAGTCTTAAAACTCAAGGACATATTTTAGTTCGAGAGCCAAGGTACTTCCAAGTACAGAAGAATGTGGTGAAGGAACTTGCAAAGTACAGTATCTGGTTATGCAAACTGAGCACCTTTTTTTACAATTCCCTTTTCTATTAGTGCCAATCCAAGAGACTGTGGAGCCATTGCCAGTTAGGCAGTAGCTCTTGTCAGATATCATATCTACATATAAAGAGAGATTATTACCAGCATATAAATATATATACACATAGATTTAAGGTGAGAAGCTCTGCTTGTGACAGTAATTCTGGAGTTAGTGTCTGACTTATTTCCTTCCCTTTCTTATTCTAGCTCCTTCCATCCCTATTCCAGATGGGCTGGCTAACAAATAAATGCAGGTTTAGTTTGGTTTGGTGGAGCTCTCCACTCCCAAAAGGTGATGCCTTGACTTCAGAGCCCTGCCTAGGCAGGGACAGAGATCCCTGTGCCGTACAGCTTTTTGGTCAAATGAAGTGTGATGCAAAGATGAACCCAGACTCGCATTCCATCTCATGAGGACGCTGGGATGTTACACTGGTGTTGCAGGGGGGCAGTTGCCACAGGTAGCTGGGAATTAGGCGGAAGGAGTCTGGTGGTTGCAGATCATCTGACACAGGATTACTGAGCTAATTCCCGAGGGGGGACTTTCCATTCAAATTGTAACTTGGAAATTTTTATAAGTGTGTTTGAACTTTGAACAGCAGCGTGGTTAAGTGAGTTCTGATGTGTCACTTCACTCATCTCTGTTCCTTTTTTTTTTTCTGTATCTATGAAGTTTTATTTTTCTGGTTCAGTCATAGGAAATAAATGAAGGTGCATCATTCAGTACAAAATAGACAGTTGTAGGTAGGGTATAGATTGCTAAAATTAGTGGTGCTGTTTGTACAGTTTGAGAATTGCACTACCTGCTGCAGCATCACCAGGGGGTGATTTGGCAGTTGTGTCATGGTTACCCCAAAACACTGGCCGTGGCTGTCAGCGGACACTGCGCCGTCCTTTCTGGCTGCTGGGCTGTTACTGTTGCTGCTGTGCACATAAAATGCTTTCTGTCAGATGAAGTTGTCAGCCCAGGGGGATGGCCAGCAGGCTGTGATGATCCCTCAGTCTTGCAATACAGAATGTGCCGCTCAGGAGCCTGGTGCTGTTCCCTGTGCTCTGGGTGACCGGTGGCAGCCCTGACCCCTGAGCTGCTGACTGTGCACAAGCCCAGGGCTTGGGCTCACATCAACCACATGAGGGGAGGGAATAGTTCAAATAATAAAAACACCAGCTCTTTCCACCTTGGGGGAGAACTGATGGTAATTCAACTTGTAGCATTTTGCAGGACATGGAAATGGCCACTGCCGTGTGATACAACAAAAACCACTCTCAGTTTCCATTCATTCCTTAAATGAAGCCACTTGTTCATTGCTCTAACGGCTGGATAATAATGTAATTTTAGAGGAGTTTACTACCATAGTGACTAAGAAATAGCTGTGTGTTGATTTTACTAGAAGTTTCCCATCCAGTTGTACCATACAAGTTTCTTGATTGAGATTTCAGTTGTTATCTGGACTAAAACAGAAGGAAATAATCCGATTTGTTTCCAGAAAAAATAGGCTATTTCGTCTTTTTTTTGCTCTAGCTTTGTCACTTTACCAAGAAGGCAACATGTTTGTGTTGACAGATTGGCTTTTATACAATGTATTGTATGAAGTACTGTAAGACAAAAAAGGTGTTAAATAAAGTATTGTTTCACTTAAAAAAAAAAAAAGTGTTCGAGGCACTATTATTTCTCGTGATATAGTGCGCTGCAGAAGTTCCTTCAAGAGCATTGACCATGTTAAAGCCACATTTAACCAGAGCTTTCCAAAACAAGGACCAAACCAAAAGCCAAGCTGGGATGCCAGATTTTGAAGTCTGGGACTAGTTTGGCTTTTTTACAGCCTGATCTGAGTTCAGTGCTGAGATGGTGAGTGAGTGAGCCCAGAACTGTCACTGTTGCTTTTTGCATCCAAATGAAACATTTACAGTGTGCAGATGTGACTACACCGACCCTGATGCCTTGTTCTTCCTAACTGATGCATTCCCCCCATTGCTTCTGGCACTGGTCATGGAAATGCCCGTCTTCCTTCAGCAGTTCATGCACATGAATCCCTGATGCTGCTGCTCTTGTGCCTCCTGGAGAGCAGGGATCAGGTTCTGATCCACAATGGACCCACACCACCCGGGGAATAACAACAACACATAGTGTGGAAGAGGCCTTACAAGTATTATTTTATTTCTTCTTATCTTTTTTTTTTTTTTTTTTTAAATACTATGTACAATCTGTTTAAAGCTTGTCAAAATGCACAGACTCCCATTCAATGGAGCTGTGCAGGGACATAGATTCAAAACAAGAATAAAATCTTTACTGTTCATCTTCATAAGACACTTTCTTTTTCCCATTACAAAATACTTTTAAGAATAGTAACATTTATAAATTTATTTATATTCAACATCATATAAAATAAACCAAGATTTATACTCAATTCTAGACTTTTGCTTATTTTCTTTTTTCTTTTTTTTTTTCCATGGAGTATTTACAATATATACAGTAACTTTTCATTGTGTTTGTCAAACCAGCCTGATTATACCCACCAGGCTTTAGCTTATATGTACAAATACGCTAAAAGTGCAAGACTTTATTAATTAAAGCTGCCTGTGTTTTCAGAGGTCTGGAATTGTGTGGCCTATATATATTCATATATAGATATACATGTGCATACACATATATGCATATTGAAAATACATATATCTATATATAGAGAGATATAATATATAGGTACTTGAGTACTAGAAAACCTCAGAACATTAATGACTGATAAATTGACACCGACACTGGAGCCCAACCCTGCCACAGGTGCCATCGGTCACGTTCCTCCCTCTGCTTGTCACCAACAAGTCACACTTGTGCTTTCTTGTTGCAGCTGGGGGCTTGTGAACCAAACCCACCAGCAACCCTCAATTCCAAATGAGTCCTAAAAACACAGGTCATAGCTAATACCGAGGTAAACAAATACAAATCAACCTGAATAAAGTTATTTATCTGTATATTTTTTGAGAGTGAGTGACAATATAAGGCAAAAACCCCATGGCCCGGACTCAGCCTTCCCTCCCTCAGCTGGAGGCAGACTGAGCAGGGACCAAGCAAGCCCCAGGAAGGGATGGTGGGATTTTGTCCTTTGGAGCGTGTCTGGAAAACAAGGCTCTACCTGTGAGGCAGTGCCTGGGACTGTGCAGCCCCCCTGCCCACCAGCAGCGAGGCCAGTGGCTGGGGTGGGCACTGGGAACGAGGGTGGGGACATGATAAAGTGCGTTTTTAGGTCTCTTTGTTTCAGCAAGGCTGATCTAACATGTAAACATCCTCACAAAGCTCCTGTGCTCCTCGCTGAGAGGCTGCAAGCAGGGGGGCAGTGCCCCGCCAGCTCTCCCTGCCATCAGAAGGGCTGTGCCCATGGCACAGCCCCATCCGGCACACCCACCAACCCCCCACCTCCCCCAAACCCCTTCCCAACCCCCTTCTTTCACTGCTGTCAAAGCCACAGCAGTGCTGGGAAACCACTCTGCCTCAGCTGCCTCCCCACCAAGCACTGTTAAAAAAATACAACCCCCCCAAGCCCCTGGACCCGACCACCAGCACCTCTGAGATACACTTGACTGGCACCTGCCATAGGTGGGCTCATGTGTGGTGATGGGACACCTCACACCAGCCGTGGTGGTGGACTGGGATGATGCAGGTTTAATGGGCAAGCAGGAAGATGCTCGACCTTTCCCTCCTGCCAGCCACCCCGAGCCACAAACTGTGCAGTGGTGGACGCCCAACACAAATGTGTTTGTCTCCCCTCTGACACGTTCCAAGGCTATGGTGGAAAAAAACCCCAAACAACTCCCACAAATACAACTCCCTCCTACCCCAGCCTCATGAGCAATCCCACTGTCTTGGTATGGGGAGAGGGAGACTCTAAAAATCATAGTGCTTTAAAAAAAAAAAAAAAAAAAAAAAAAAAAAAAAAAGAAAAAGTTACCTACCCCAAAGGGTCTGTGCTGGCCCTTGCTGCAGCAAAAATGCCAGGGCAGGAAAGCCCCCACACTTTCTCCAGGGCTTGGGCTCTAGGAGCCAAGGGATGAGGTGTTATTGTTTCAGCTCCAGGTTGCTCTGCAAAGGCAGGTGCTCCACATCCCACTACCAGCAGTGCCATGGCTCTGGCCCATGGCTCTGCTGTAGCCAGAATTTCTTGTTGTGGTTTGAAATGAGGGGGCTGGTCCAGGCTGTGTCTGAGAGCAGCAGGGGGGCTGCAGACAAAATCCTGTCCCAGGCAGAGCTGTCACACTTCTGTTTCGCTCCTGAGCTCTCCAGGAGTCTCTGGCTGCCATAGCCTTGTTCATCCAGGCTGAAACATTCATGCTCTTCTGCCCCCCAAGCTCAGCCTGGGCCCAAAGTGAACAAAATCCCCCCAGTGCTGCAGCACAGAAAGTGTGTGGCTGCTGGGGAAAAGTGAGCCAGCTACAGATATACAGATAGAGCTACAGATATACAGAGAGAGCTGTAGACAGATCTGTGCTTATGGCATTGGATAGCTCAAGGTACCATTAGCTGTAGCTATTGCTTTGACACATTCCCCCTTTCCCCTTTTTCTTGAAACACAGTGCCAAAGGCTGCTCCATCAGTAACACCAATGTCCACCTGCTGCAGTGCTGCAAAGAGCCAAGCAAGCAGCTTGCACAAGATAAAAAAGGAAACAAATGCCAAAAAAAAAAAAAAAAAAAGAAAAAAGCACGTTTTCTTGGTTCTGACATTAGGAATTAACCCCTCCCTAAACCTTGCTCTGACTGTCAGGTGGAGCTTCACTGCTAGATGGACCTGGTCCTAACTAACCATTATTTTGCAAAGTAATGGCCAAACCCACCTCCTGCATTTGGTCTCTAACAGTGCCCAAAGGTAGTAAGTACTCAGCTACTAACGCCTCAAAAATGTACATTTTCATTTTTCCTTTGGAAAGACACAAACAGTAGGGACACTTAACTATACACCCACTGAGGAATAAACTTCTTTTTCAATTCATAAATATAAACTTATAGTTAAAAAGTGACAATTTTTACAAAAATACAATTTATTGCTGACCCTACGGGTTTGTAACATCGCTTGTGTGGTGATGGTACATTTTGGGTGTGCCAAATTGAAACATGACCTAGCAAAACCAGAAAGTTTGCTGTCATATGCCAGTCTATGCCATGTTTGTTTGTTTTTATGTATAGAAACATACACAACCACAGCACTTGAAATAAAACAAACAGACAAAAAAAGAAGGAGTAAGGATTCTTTGTCTGTAACCTGAAAAATATTTGGCTACAGGGAGTAAAAACCCTACAAATTTCTCTGCACTGGTTAACCAAAAATAAAACATGACAAATATTGTACTAGCTGTGATGTGAGCTGGTATAACAACAGTAAGAAATTCAGGCAAAAGTGGTGTTATGTAATTTAGCAGCATTATCCAACCTCCTGGAAAACAAAAAACTGTGGGACTGAGGTATAGAAAAAAGGGGGGAAAAAAATCCACAATGGACTTACTACAGCAACATGAGTTATGTACACGGTAATCCAACGGCATCCTGCAGACCGGTACAGTCTGTCTATGTGCTTCAAATGCTGGGCTTAAATTCACAGTGACTTTCAGCACTGAAGTCCTGAATGGAAAAGGGTTTTCTCCATTGCAAACCAAGCCTCGTGGCGACCTGATAACCGACCTCCCTGCAGCCAGAGAGCCGCTGCCTCCATCTGCACCGTGGTGCAGGGCCAGGGCACAAACTGCTGTCAGAGCAGCATCATGGACTGGCTGCATGGAAATCCCAACAGATGGGGTGCTCCTGGAGCCATCCATCCCCATCAGGGACTGTTCCTCCTGCCACCACCTTCCCACGGAGCCCGACCTCACCCGTCCCGTGCTCTGACGGCACCGCGCTCTCCTCTGCGTGCGCCCGGGGTGCTGAGCGGCTGCGGCCACGTGGTCCCTGCCTCCCAGAGCCAACATTCAGGGCAGCTGCATCTCGGGCAGGTCAGGCAGGTTGCAGGGCTGGCCCTGCGTGTGGTGGCTCTGCTGCTGTGGGTGGAGGAAGTAGCTCAGGGGGTTCTGCTGTGGAGCGTGGGGTGGCTGGAAGATGCGCTGCGTCGGACCCCCAGGCACCAGCTCAGGACCTTGCATCTGTTGGGAGACACAAATCTGAGAGATCAGACCTGCCCCATCATCCAGCCACTCCCTCTCTTGCTGCAGGGCTGATGCTGACAGTTGTACCCAGGAGTGTGGGTACCAAGTCCTAAAGGTAACCTCTACCCACTGAGGGCCCGAGTTGTATCCCTTGGGATGCTGCTGCTGCTGTCACTACAACGATGGAGAGTGCAGAGAGGAAGCAGAACCCATCTGTCCTACGAGCCCCACGGAGGGCCCAGCAGGAATGGAGACCTTCAAAAGCTACTTAGATGCATGGTAAAATCTGCAGGATGTGCAACTTTCATCTTCCGTGGGAAGGACTTCCCGGTATCCCAAAGACCAGGACTTGCTGGTTAACCCCCTGTGAAAGGCACTGCGACACCAAAGCCTGGTATTCTGTTGCCCTGGAGCTATTTATCTGTCCCAGCATCATCATTCTGCCAACTCTTTTGCTGGTCGTCTAGATCTCAGTGCAGCCTATGAGGACACGTACCCAAAGTGGGAGTGGCTCATGCCCACATCTGCTGACAAGAACAATTCATTTCCCACTCTAAATCCAGTCCTGTTGTGTGGCTGCTTTCAGCTCCCGCTGCTTTCTTTTCTACCATCTTTGCCTGGAGGACTGGAACTTGCCTCTGCCAACCAGGCAAGGCTGGGAGAGTGTGTTAATAATGAATGACTAGTTTCAACAACCCCTCTCCTTGGCAGCATCACTGGTTCAGCATGCACTGATGAAAACTGTGTTGAAAAACCAAAATCACCTTCTCCAGAGATCTGGGTTGTGAAATACGCATTTATTAAAAGAAAGCCATGATGGCAGCTGGTAAAAACCTTGCTCTGCTGAGACATAACAGCAGGAGGCATGGTTTGAAAAGAGCTTCTCTCTTATCATGTTTCATGTCTACAGCAAGCTTCCCACCAGAGCTGTGTCTTAAAAACTGGATATTTCTCCTGGACAACAGGTGATAACTGAGTTTGTAGCAAAATAACAGCCTTGAGCAGGTGCAGTCAGCCTAGAAAGGCTGAGCACGTGGCTACGTGCAGATACAACAGGAATGGAGGATGTGCAAGTGCACTGACCAAGTTTGATCAGGCAAGTGAGCCCCATTCCTTCAAAAAAAACCCAACCAACCCCAAAGCCATCCCTGTGCCTCCTCAGAAACCTGCGCTCCAATACCTGAAGGTAGAGACGGTGCTGCTGAACCTGCTGCTGTGGCCACTGGTGGAGATGAACCGGTGTGTTGGCCTGGTGGGACGTGAAGCTGGTGTGTGGGATCATCAGAGATGGGGAGAAAATGGGCGGTGGGGCTGGAGGTCGGACGGTGCTACAGGTAACTGGCTGTGCCTGTGCTGGGGGAGGCAGGGTCTGCTGCTCCGCAACGAATCTGCCACGAGGAAGAAAATCAGGCGTAAGAACCCAAACCCAGACCCACCACCACAATAGGCACTGAGGAGCCCAGGTGGTGCAGGAACCAGACTGGAGAAGGGATTGTCAAACCACACAGACCCTGGTAACAACAGGCCCCAGATTTCCCCCTCGCCACCAAACACAGACTGGAAATGCAGAAAATTAAGGTTTTTAAGGCTGTACATCTCCATGTCTTGGTAAGGCATTTTTATGATTTGCAGAAGCCAGAGAACGGTTGATTTTTTTTTTTTCCAAAGCACTTTATTTATCATAAAGTTCTTTGTAGTTAAAAAAATATTCTCATTACTTTTTCCCCTAACCAGCTGAACTTTTGCTTCATTTCAGACTGAGACAGTTCGTGTTCGCGTTATCAGGTGCAAGTTTTTCCAAGTTATTTTCAGTGTCATAAAGCGCCCCTGGTAAAACACTGCAGGAAAACAAGGGCCAGCAAAGACTCACTTTCCTTGCTGCCTGCTGGCACTGCTCTGCACGGCCTGGCCACTGCTGTTGGCTGCAGGCATCATGGCTTGGATGGACTGATCCAACAGCATCCTGCAGTGGAACAAAACAGAGGATGGTCAGGGAAGGGAGAGGTTCAAGCTGCTGTCAGTCTCTAGAAAAAAATCCCTGAAAATTCTCCATGGAAGCAGGCAAACCACCACCCTGAAAACTAGCTAATGGAACAGGATGCTTCTTAGCACATCACATCTCTCCTATGGAGACAGGCTGAGGGAGTTGGGGTTGTTCAGCCTCAAGAAGAGAAGGCTCCAGGGAAACCTTCAAGCCCCTTCCAGTGCCTAAAGGGACTTTCTACAAAGGCATGTAGTGACAGGACAAGGGGAGAATGGCTTTAAATTGGCAGAGGACAGGGTTAGATTAGATCTTAGGAAGAAATTCTTCCCTGTAAGAGTGGTGAGGCCCTGGAAAGCTGTGGCTGCCCTACTCCTAGAAGTGTTCAAGGCCAGATTGGACAGGGCTCTGAGTCACCTGGTTTAGTGGAAGGTGTCCCTGCCCACGGCATAGGGGTGGAACTACATCCTCTTTCAGGTCCCTCCCAACCCAAACCTTTCTGTGATTCTATGACTCCAATGGACTTGCAGAGGTGAGCTGAAATTTGCTACATTTTTTCATGTAAGAAATACATTTAATAGATGATGAAACCTCTATGGTTTATCCTGTTTCCTTAAAAAACATTTTGGAACAGCTGGATCCTGTAGGCACTGTCTCTCTGAAAGGTGGTTGAATAGTTTGGGACAGTTGTACATGTTTTATAGGATGTTTGCAGCAGTGTAAAAAAAAAAAAAAAAGGCTTTGCCATGGCACTTGTCCTGGCTGGAGAAAAGACACTCTGGAGCTTCAGAACAGGCAAGACACAGGTTTGGCAAAGACTAGTTTTTCATGGTTACTCTCTCTAACAGCAGCAGATGTCCAGAGGTTACTGAGCTACTTGGAAGGCAGGGCTGTGGGTACCTGAGGCTCCTGTCCTGGCTGTAGTCGGACTGGGGTTGCCTCTCGCTGCTGTCAGGCGGCATCTGAGCAGCCACTGCAATGGGGTGTGTTTGTGAGAACACCATGGGGTTGTTGTAGAGGGTCACTGAAATGCTTGCCTGCCCCGGCAGACACGTTTGCTGGCCTTGGCTTCCTCTCAGTAGGTGCTGCTGCTGCTGTACCTGAAACAGAGATACCCATGTAAGTTTTAAAGCTCCATAACACAAGGCTAAAATAAGTGCTTAAAACATGCAGATGGGAAAAGGGGAAGGAGCAGCAGGACATTGTTCCCGAACACAGTAACAGGAACAGCATATCTTTTCAGGACAACCAACCCACTGGCATTTATTGTCCCTGCAGGGCAGGTGCTGGCATTGCCAGCAGCAGAGACAGGCAGTCCCTTGAGAAATTTGGGTGCAAGGGTAAGGGCACAGAAGGATTGAGGGGGAGGAGAGCATCTCTTTAGAGCAGAAGTTTTGGTCTCTTTTGCTTTTGGAGAACTCAACTTCTTTCCCAAGAAGTGACCATCTTAATAGTGGATTTAGGTCTAGTGATGACAAAACCATTTTTCAAAGCTGCCTCACAAGACTCTTCAGGCAGAGGAAATTTAGTATTTCAAAACAATTCCTACATTCCTGTGTTATGAAGCCACAACTCTCAGTGGCTACAAACAAGCACTGTGCTGCAATCACAAACAGAAGTGACTGAGAGCCCAGACTTCCCACTCAGTTCCTCCCCAGGGTCACCAGGGGGGCTCCAGCATTCCCCGGGTTCAAATGCTTTTCAGCTACCTGGCTTTTTCTTTTACTGCTGAAGTTGAATGACACCATTCACAACTCACTCCCAACACGAATCCCATAATGCCAGCAACGCAGAAAAACCAGCACAGAGGGGATGCACGAGACCATGGAGGGGGGAGGGACATGGCAGGCAAGTGTTTAAAAGCCAGGAATGGGAATGATGAAGACAAGGAAGCGGGCAGTGACCTGGGCAGCCGTGCCGTGGGGGTCCCTGAGGAACTGGCGCGGTGACGGCAGGTGGGTGCTGCAGTAGTGCTTCGTCCCCACAAGGCCTGGCTGTTGTGACTTCTTGGCTGTGCTCTGCCTGGGTGTCCCCTGGGGCGGTGGCCTCCGGGGGCTCGGGTGCTGCACGTTGTTTAAGACGACGGGGATCGGCTGCTGCATCAGCATCTTTAAGTGAGAGAGACACACGAGTTGGTGGTGGTACTGCCTGGAAGAAATAACACTGCAGCAGCAGCAGCATCTCTAAATCCAGGGGCAGAGTGAACCACGAATAATGGAAAACCAAATGTTAGCTTGGGCCAAATATTTATTCAGAGCCATGACCGTTCCAGACCCATTGTGCCTGCTGTGTTTTTCAGGAGCGGCACAAGGGATCCAGCAGCACTGATCAGATGCTGAACCACCAAGCCTTTTGTGCAGAGAGGACTTTGGATTAGTTTGGGATTGCTTTTTTTGTAAATCATGAATATTACTGATTCAATACTTAGCCACATATTGATGTCACTCAGCTCTTGGGAGACACCACTCCCACACCTGAGACCAAATTGGCAGTTTGTTCAGAGTTCGTTTCCGAATGCTTTTGCCACAATTTTGTTATTGATCTGTGTGCTCAAAGGAAAAGCAAATGGTTGGTGAGTTTGGGAGTCCCTGGGACAGCAAATACCTGCAGGTTGGAGTCCTGCACTAGCTGGAGCTGCTCCTTGATGACGTGGAGCTCTTCTTGCTGAGTCTTGATGTCAGCTTGCAGTATGCGAGTCCTCTCCTCCAGCTGCTCTTTCAGCTGATGCATCATCCCCAGCTGGGTCGGGAAATGGTACACTGGCTGCAGATAAAAGAGAAAAAGGATCACAGGGTAGGACCAGTCCTACCTACTCACACTCATAGTGATGCTGGCTTCAGAAAAACAACTGCTTTTCAGCTTTTGCCATAGAAAAGACCGTGCTGACAAAAAATGGCAACTGCATATTTAACCAAAGTACCACTGTAGTTCCAGAGCAGGAGCACATCTGGTTCACACTCAGTGCCTCCCTCCAGCTGTTGGTCTGCTGAATTTCTGCAGTGTCTATACACAGATAACACTGTCTTAGCTTTGGATGTTATCCAAAACCCTTGCCACACCTCCTGGCTGGGCTTTCAGTTGTGCTGCTAATGGTATTTGCCAAATGTCAAGCCCAAGTTATGCTGCAATCCCAGCTGGGGATCCATCCTTCCCACCTATGCTGGCCATCTTCAATTCCTATTTTATAGTCTGAACATTTACTACACTGACATCAAAGCTCTGTGAGGACGCATCTCACTGCTGTGATTTATGACTCCTACATTTTTCTTGTGTTTTTTGCTGTTTCTTCTCCTGGCCTAACTCAAACCTTTCATGGCATCCCCTTCATTTACCAGGAGAATAAAACTTCAGCATTGTATCAGCCTGTAGTTAGCTGCTACAGATTCAGAGAGGAGCCTTCAGCAGCCTCCAGTGCTTTTGACAAGCGCAAAACTTCTACACTACTTTTTTGGGTGTCCCACCTGCTCTGTTTGCTCACTGAAATAAGTGGTTGCAATTATTTGGTTGCAGGTAAATCTCAGTAACAGCAACAGAAAGGGCAGAAAAACCTTGTCCCCACTCTGGGATGAGCCAGCAAGGAGGTGAGGGCAGTGAATAAGAGCCACCGAGGTTGCCCCACTGACTGGTCACACAGTACGCTTAACAAAGATAAACCACGTACCATCACAGGGTGCTGGGAGGGGACTGCCAGCTGAGCCACAGGGTGCTGAGGGAGGTGTTCACCAGGGGCTTGAGGAGTGGCTATGGCCTAGAAATGAAAACTTTGCCTTACTGTAGGTCCATAGCACCTCTAGGGCAGAGCTGGTGCTGTACCCACTCATACCAGGGGTGAACAAGTGCAGGGAATTAGACAACTCCTGCATGACCCTGCTAATTGCAAGTCCTTGGTGTCATCATCCATTTTGGATAAAGGACATTTCATGTGTACAAACCCCAAGAGAAACAGGCTGGTGGCATGAGAAGCCATTTAGCCTGGAGGAGCAAAATGAATCCTGAAAGGAGGCAGCAGAGGAGCCTCTAGCCTCTCTCCACTGGCTCTGCCAGCCAGTGCTGCTCCCCACAGCCCTGAGAAACCCCAGCACACTCAGAGTGAGGGATCCAGCACCTCTGAGGGAAAGACCAAGGTTTCTTTAACAGCCTCAGAAAGGCTTTTGCTTGCCAGGCCCACTGACCTGAGTGCTTCCGACTGATGCCAGCCGCAGGGCTGCCTTCTCTGCCTGCCCCCCCGGCACCGACGGCCGCGTGGGAGTGCTGGTGTCCGTGCGCCGCATGGATGACGTGGCTGGAAAGGAGACAGTTCATGACACAGCAGCCCCACGCCTGGGTACCCTGGCTAAGCCTGAACTCTGTGTATGCAGATGAACAGTGACCCAAGCACTGCCAAAGCGGGTCCCCAAAGTGCCCCTCTGAGGTCCCTCTGGCTTCCTGCTCAACTCATTGGGGTCCCCTTCTGATGCCAACCCCGCATTTCAGTCTGCCCTCCATGGGTGTTTCCAGATGAGATTCCCACTCTCCCCATGGCAAGTATTTCAAGAAGAGTCCCCTGAGTCGTTTCCTACACACGGCCCTGCACGGGCACTGTAGTCACCTCACTGCCACTCCCAGGGAAGGGGTGGCACTCACAGGAGCTGGGATGAAGCTGCCAGCAAGGCAGGCATCCTTCTGTGCTCCTTCTGCAGGAATTTAGCATGAGAGACTCCATAATAAAATTGTATTATCCCAAAAGAAAACTTTTTAATGAGGCTGGGGGCTCAATCAAGCTAGTTAGAGCCACCTTCTGTCCTCTGAGCCACAGCAAACAGCCACGACCCTCAGCTGGTGACACACCGGGGGAAAGCTGCTCCATAAATTTCTATGACACGATATATCAGTCTCAGTGCTGAGCATTTCCCTCCCACCCCGCCTTGGTCACTTCCAGCCAAATCCCAACTATTTTGGAGGCTTCTCTGTCCTCCAGCCTGCTCCTTGCCCCCATGCTGGGCTGTCCCCGGCCGCGCTGGCACCTACACGTGGAGTCGGAGAGGGCGGTGTGCGAGGAGCGCCGGGAGCTGTGGGATGACAGTGACACTCCCTCCCGGCTGGCGTCCTGGCTGCTGCCGCACTGCCCCACGTCCAGGTAGCTACTGTGGCTCTGCGGGGAGCGAAGCACAAGCGGTGAGATCATCAGCGGGGGGAGGACAGCACTGGAGGGGTCCTCCACCTCCCTGATCCCTTGTTTGGAGAGAAAAACAACCGGCTGGGTGTGCAGCACCAAACTCAGTTGTGAAGGGACACGGTACCTTTAGAGAAGAGGATGCCAGTTCAATTGATGACTCTTCAAGGCCAAGATCTCGCCTTCTCTCAGCCCGAACTTCTGCATAACTAAAAATACAAAACAAAAAAAACCTCAAAATTCCATTTCAAATCCAGTTTTTCAGTCTAGATATTGTTTACTCTGTGGTAACTACCCTACTACACAGGCCACTGTGAAGTTTTCACGTTGAGTCCCAAGCTTTGCACAACACACACACTCTCTCTCACAATGTACAAGGTACTTAGAGGAGCATCATCATAGAGAAATTCCACAAATCAGAAAAAACAGGGCAGTGTCCCATCCCACTGCACCCAGAACTGTACAGCCCGTAGGATTAATTATTCCAAGCACAAAAGCAGATGATCCTTTGCAAATTTTGGCCCTGGATGCCTTCAAGTGAAACTAATCTAAAAGAAAAGTGCACTTGGTTGTTGAAGACAAAATGGGTGTCTTTGTCCTCAGTACAATTTTCCTAATAAAGGAGTTTTCCATTTTCCATAATCAGGCAGAAAAATGATCCCACAGCTTCTGTGCAGGTAAACTCCCATAACAAGAGTACATTCATTTTCCAACCTCATGATGACCAAAAATCAATATTTTTCCATGGGGTACAGTAGCTCAGTGATCCCTACGCCAGCGCCTTGGGGAGGAGGAACTCAGCTCCCTCCTTCTGAGGGTGCACACAACCTGCTGCATCAGAGTTAACACTCTGCACTCCACTGGAAGCTCCAAATACAAACCAGCAGCTGCCCAGGTGCAGTGCAAAGTGCAGGAATTCCTGGGGTGTGCCTGGAAAAGTGCATATTTGCTTTCCTTACTTTTTTCCCCTCTTAAAAAATAAAATATGTACACTAAACAATGCCACGATTCACCACTGGAATAAAACAGAGAGGATGTTTTAAAGATTCTCTGAGTGCTCGTTAGATACTGGAAGGGGCTTGAAGGTCTCTCTGGAACCTTCCCTTCTCCAGGCTGAACAGTCACAACTCTCTCAGCCTGTCTTCACAGGAGACATGCTCCAGCCCTCTGATCATCTTCATGCTCCTTCTCTGACTCACTCCAGCACTTCCATGTATTTCCAGTTTACTAGTGTTTGCTCTTCCAGATGTTTGACAGGAAAAAGAGGGGGACCAGAAAAATATCACAAATTAATTCTTGACAATAAAGAAATACACGGGGAGCAATAAATCTGCTTCAGTTAATAGAGCAAATCAGTGTGTCACTATTTTTTCAAGCCCTTCAGTAAATATATTCTCACTCTGAACCCAGTCTTTTTTGAGATGGCAGTGGTAACAAAGCAGATCCCCCTCCAGAAGGTGCGTATCACAGAGAATCCCACACACGCACTGCCTTCCAGCTCGGTGTTGGAACTCAGCATAAGCAGCTTTCCACTAGGGGAGGATCTTGAGCTGGATTTGGGGTGAGGAATAAGGCTTGCAAGCCAGCAGCTAACTTCAAGTCATAAATATTTAAAAGTCTGATCAAAACGTTTCGTGGGAGATATATGATCCTATTCATGATCATAAAGCCACCTCATTCTTAACAGCTTCAATTCTTTCAATGGGCGTGTCATCACAAGAGATAAAAGGGGACTTGGCCAACAGAGGCTTCCAGGTTTTCGGCCCGGATGACGAAAAAGGAAAAAGAGTCATTAAAAACCATGTTCCCTGTCATAACAGTTTTATGGAATTACATACCATCTTAGTGTGTCAGTAGGCACAGCAAATATTTAGTAAACATAAAACAGAACTAGAAAAAGTAATGGCTGAACACCGAGACATACTCTGGGAAGGGTTTGGGGCTTGCTCCTACCTAACTACCAGGTGAGTGCAAACGATGAACTCGGGCTTGGAATTCCACTGGTGGTAGGTGATGTAGTAGTGTGTCTGCAGCCATATCCACTGCTGGCCTTTGGTCAGGAACCGATAGTAACAGGACTTTCCTTTTCCAAACTGCATCACTGTTCAACAAAAAAAGAAAGCAATTTACAGCAAACAGGGTGGTGCAAAAGTGATTAGAAAAACCATCGGGTCCCACACATCCCCCACAGACTGTGGCAGTGCCAAAATGGCTCTTGAGCTTTATAAACACGACAGATGATACACAACGACGTACTCAGCTTTTGTTTGGGTCCTTTTCTGCTGACTTTAAGGAGTGCCCTTTGGTATTTTGACATTGCTCTCACAACTGGTATAACTATCACTAGCTACATACTTACAACTTATCCATGGGCTCCCCCGAAATAAGCATAAATAACACTAATTAAAGTATTTGCCTTTCACATGTACATGAGAATGCATTTCAGACACTGAAGGTGTGAAGTCAAAATCCCAATAAACAATAAGATAGTGGAGTTTTAACAGTTTAACTGAGAATGGCAGAGATGGGGGTGATTTGCAACTCAGAGAGGAAGCAGCTTGTCTCACTCCAGTGGGCTGGGAGGCTGTGGAGTTTCTTGGTCCCTGCATTGCACTGCTCTGCATCTCAGAGTAATTACAGCATCCCACTCGCTCCACTCTTTGGGGTGTTCTTGTTTCCTTTTTGACAAAACACTCTCCTTTCAAGCAGAGATAACAGAGGGACAAACAGACAGTTTCCCCACAGGAAACCTGTAAGTAATATTTCTTAGCAAAATATCTGATTACCCAGATGCATTTTACAAAGTATGAAGTCATTTTTTATTGCAGTGCCTGGCGATGCAAAGCCAACGGAGGACAGACACAATTCTGGCTCAGTAGTCTGAAATGCACCTAATAAAATGGAAAAATCATGAACTCAGGAGTAAGGCATCTCACATCTGGTAGGAACAGCACACTGATTAAGGGTAGACCATATGTGCAGACACCTTTGGCCCTCCCTCACATCATCTCCAGCCTTCAGCAGGCTGCACTGTTGCAGTACTCAAGCGAAGTTCTCCCTGTGCCCTGGCTCCCACAAGTCACACTATATCTCCTTGCACAAAGGTGAACTCAACACCTCTTTGGTGTTCATTCATCAGCCTGAACTGGACTCTTCTGTTTTGCTGCTTTTCTTTCAGGCCGACCAAACATGAGGCACCTTTACCCACAGGGAAACTGTATTCGGTACTTCTGTATTTTAAAAAAAATTCTGAATCTCCAGAAGCATTTTACTAATGAGTAAGTGAGGTTCACAACATCTAATTGCACAGGTAGGTGAACCAAATGTTGCTCTCCGAAGGCATTTTGGTGAGCTGAGCCCTATGGCTGGTTCTGGAGCCCAGGGTGAACAGCAAGAACTGTGACAACCAACAAAACCCACAGAATCTGGGGCTGCCCTCACAAACTGGGGACAGAGGGGGGGAAGTTTTGACTTCCAATCTATTAATCTCAGACAACGTGTGCTCAGACAAGGTATCTGAGCCAATTTAGGAAACCTGCACAAACAGTTCCTGATCTGAGTAAATTCTGCAGATTTCAACCTCTCAGGTAAGCGTCAGCTGTGACAGTCTGCCACGAGAAGACAGAATTCCCTCGTGGCCCCTGAAGAAGATGCCTTTAGTGACGACAGTAAAGGGTTTTGCACAAGTGACAAACGAGATCGAAGACAGGCAGGTTGCAGAGGGAGGGGAACTTACAGTGTTCATGGCACCTTGCAAGAAGCTCCAGGTCATCTGCATGGTAGTAATCATACCCTGACGTTCCCAGAACCTCAAAGGGTAAATATCCTATAATAGGTGGAGCCCTAGAAAGGAATCAAAGGGCAGGGAATGAGCACAAAACCTGCTAGTTTGACATCTGGCAGATAGGCTGTGACACCAGCAATAAAAACCTCGGCCATTCAGTTGGCAGGGAAATCAGGAGTGGGTTTTCACATACGCAACAAGGTATCTTCATATACAAACAAAACAAACAAAACAAAAAAAAACCACAGCGAGGGAGAGGTAAAAATTGAGAAAATGAAAAGGTGTGTGTTTACTGTTTCATAGCCTATTCATTACGTGGGTGTAGAGAAAGGCATGTACGTATGTGAGTGACTCAATTCATTAAGGATGCTTGTGAGACACGTAGCTTGAGAAACGCTACGGCTGCTCCTGTGCACAACAACTTGGAGCTGGAGTAAAATGATCCAGTAGGTTGGATGTAAATGTCATCTGGGTAGGAACTGGGGAAGAAAGAGCAAGTGGGAAGCTGCAGCATGTGTCAGGACCAGCTTGGGTAAAAGAAAAAGCAATGGCTCTCATCGAAAAACGTGGGAAGTTATAGCCAGCAAAACTTCCTATGCTGGTAGTATTGATAGCAATAGGTATGGGGCAGATTTAGGACTGCTTTTGCTTTGGCAGGTAGATAAGGAATCAATGAAGTATTTGGATAGGCACATTGCAGTGACTTACCTCATCACTGTGCTGTCAATTCTAGATTTTCCATTTTCTAGGCAAAATATGAGTTTTGGTTTTTTTAAAGAGGTGTCCTAACAACACAGAGCATGTGCACAGCCTTCACTGGAGCCTGATAGCTTATGATTATGAAACAACACTGAAGTGTGAGGAGAAAACCACTGTTTCTGTCTCTCCTCCCCATGTCAGCATGCCAGCATGCCAGCCTCCCTCCTCCAGCACTCAGGTACACTCCTGCTTGCACCAGCTCAAGCTCCACACTCCCTCGGTGAGGCAGGACCTGTGCTAACGTGGCTCCACCTGTTTGTTCTGGCTGCAGGATGTGCTGATAGTGTGGGGCTCACCTGCCAAGATCAGCGTGTTTCCCAGCAATGAGGTGGTGGTGTGTTGGTGAAATGGTTAACGACCCAAAATAGGGCAGGATGAAGGGGATGGTGCCTTATCAAACCTGCCTCCCCCGCTGCCTTTCTCTTGGTATGCTGAGTGCTCTTAAGGAAGGTGAATGTCATAAAGTGGCTAAGAATAGAAGCAAAAAGTGATTTAAATGTAGTACATTTGGATTTGGATGATCAGTCCTGAGTTCCTTGGTTATTAACGTGGGAAGTTCTCTCTCGGCTAAGGCACCCTGCTCTCATTTGCGCTCTTGAGAGACACAGTGCATGCAGATTAGTCAACTAAAGAGAGTCCAGGCGGGTCTATAACCTGTCTCTTCTCCACAGTTGCAGGCAGGCTGGCACCAGATGGGAAATGGGAGGAGAAGGAGGACAGCTAGGGGTCTGCTCAACAGCAGTCCCTGGAGGATCAAGGTGTAAGCAGGAGCTCCTGAGTCCCAGCACAAGGGGTTACTGGGAAAGCCAGTTCTCCTCTCAACAGCAAACCTCTTGAAACAGTGTGTGCTGAGTACACAGTGGTCTCTGCCACAGTGCAGCTTTATTTATTCAAGTAACTTTTCATAGAGCACTGTGTTCCTTTCCCTCACGTGACCCAGATTTCTGTTAATGATGATAATATGAGTATTTATGAAAGTGTCCTTTCTTGCTGTCTCTTTGGCAGAATGCATCACTGTCTCTCCTATTTTTAATGACATACTTCTATTCAAGACAATAATGTCTTTGAGATGCACATCAGATAAACACTTAAGCTGATCAGGAAAGTATTATGCTTTCCTGAATACTGCCAGGGCTCTTTGTATGAGAAAGGAACCACAAAATGTTCCTCATCTGTCATTTGACAAGGAGCTGCCTTGCCTATGGAGCAATTTAAAAGTGTTTTGTTAGCTTGAGTTCCAGCCTTGAGACCTGCAACTCGCTGTGCAAATGGGAATGCACAGTCTTCAGAGAGCCTTTCAGATGCACTCTTTTAATAAATGAAGGGAAAATAGGAACAGTACCACAGTGCAGAAGAGGAATAGATCATTCTCAAAGCTGACAGGCTTTCTTCCTCTACACATATTTACATATAGACCCAGAATACAGATTTTTCCTGTTTGTTTATCCAGATCTATGAAATCCTTTTTGCACTATCTATCTTTACTCTGTTTTAAGTTGTGATCATGATAGGAAAGGTCCTGGTTCCAGCTCCTGCTGGGAACCCTCTGCCCCTGCTGATGGCGTATCTCAGCATCAGGCAGCCTGTGTTGATGCAAATAAGCAAGAAACAGCAACATTTCCCAGCACCCTGCAGACTGTACTGGAGAGCAGTTTGAATCAATGATTAAATGAGACAACCCCCACGATCTCATGCTCATTCTCGGGTCTGAGCTCACCACTCGCATCTAGGGCTGTCACAGGCTCTGCCTCAGCATCTTCATCAGCTTAATTTCCTCTCAGTAACAATGGTTTCCTCGCCAGGGATATCAGTGGGACTGGAGTGGCTGCAAGCACCCAGCACGGAGATTCTTCTCTGAGTCATAACCCAGGCTCATCAGAAAACTCTTTGTCAGGTTTCAAAGTAGTTCCTGCTCACCTTATTCACAGGAGCTGCTGGGACACAGCAGCTCACTCCATCAGTGAAGTAAGGGGTTTAGGGCTCTTTTACCATTTTTAACAATAATCAGCTGATTCTCAAAACATGCATTACTGGACAGGCCAATTAAAGTCCATCAAAGCCACTCCAGCGAGATTTCCATACACCAGTAATGATCTGACTGTCTCAAACCACACAGCATCAACTGTAGGGCTGTCACAGGGCCAGTTCCTCCATGCTTTAAAATCTGATATGTGAGGGACACATCTTGTGTATTATACAAATAAAAGTTATAAAATTAATAAGTTATAAATTAATAACAATTTACATTTGCTCTCTCTCTTTCATGCTCTAAATGTGCAGATGATATTTAGGTTTTTTTCCTCACAGATATTTTTTCCTTACAGCCTTATTTACTAGTCTTCTATTTCTAGTAATAACTATCTTTGCACAGCTCACAAGGGGAAGGATAGTGGAAAGGGTAGGATTTTGCAATATGCTTATGCATACATGTCAAATAGAGAGAAGTAAAAGAGTGAATAAAACCCTCTAGCTTCTTTTGAAGAAAATGAATCCTATATTAATCAGCTTAATAAAGCAGTTCCAGTCTGTTTCATTCACCAAGCTGAATCCTAGCCCACCATATGGTATTGTCAAAAACTAATATAAATTAAATCTTAGAATCTGCTGCTTTTTATTTTATTTTCATAAATGCCATCATTTCTGGAGGTGAAAAATCAAAAATTTATTGACACCACAAAATACTTAGAAGGATGCCTTGAAGATTATGTGGTAGAACAAAAGAACTAAACCCATACAGGGAACAGGACTGACACTGCTCAGTTTCAATGACTTATTATCCTGGTGAAGTTAGACATTTTTCTAGATGTTTTCCATCATTTTATACAGTTTCTTACCTGCCTAAAATATGGAAAAGAGTGAAGCATTTAAGGATGTCTAGTAAGTTCACAATAGCGTTACTTACTGAGTCACACTTAATTAGAGCTATTCCTCTTGGGATCTCTGGCAAAAGCTACACATAAAGTTTCCTATTTTTAAACTACAATTTATTTATTCTTCAGTGATTAAACTCAAATCTCTTACCTGTGGTCCAAGAATAAAAACTTCCATTCTAAACTATGCCTCGATGTAAATTCTTCACATGGCTCTTCAACGTTGCAGAGCTCCTGCAAAACAGTTGGCACATTGAGACATTTAATTCTGTGAAGTGACAAAAGGAGCCTGCTACCAAGACCAAGGATGCATCTTGTTGATATAATAAACCATAGCAAAATACAGTGCTTATAAAGTACTTGACTTATTTTCCTCTAAGGAATACACAAGCCTTGTTTTATGGATGCACGAACTGATGAAAAGTGGCTGAATAATTTACCCTGAGCTGAATTTCAGAGCTAGGATAAATAGTCCAAGGGTCTCACCTTGCACTCTGTAGGCAAAATTCCCCAGCTGTTCGCAAATATTGGTATGTGAATATGGATAACTGAGCTGGCTAAAGCCCTCCTGAGCAAGCAGCACCTACGGTCATTATCCCTGTCATTACTGCACTGCACCGTGGGACACTTAACAGATTAGCAGAAAGAGCCCATGAAATGTGGTTTCAACCATGAAACACTGTTTCAAGGTGCAGGTGGCTTCCTTACACCAAGGGTGGCGGGATGCACATCTTTGAAGGTTGCAAATTCCCAAGCAGTGTAGCTGCTCGCCTCGTCTTGGTGCTTGCCGGCCTGCCCACGTTGGGACAGCCCATCCCACAACCACCCCTTCTCAAAAGCAGTTCCTGCTTCATACCTCACCTTTCCAAAACACACTCCCAAACACAGTGGTGTCCTCTCTTTACTGAATCCCTGCACAGACACCCCGTGCTGCTCCCTGAGGGGCTGCTGCAGCACGGCTCCCACGCACCCACAGAGCGCCCACGGCCACTCCACTGGCGGGCACCGGCTGAGCCCCACACAGAGGGCAGAGGCGGGCACAGGGCTCTCACCTTCAAGAACTGCGGCGTGACAAGACGAACAGTCGCAACGAGGCAAATCTGCTCCTCCGTGGCTGACCTGAAAGCTCGTGCAATAGCTGACTCAAAGCCATTACAGGAGGGTGTAGGCACTAGACACAACCAGACAATTTATTTAAGAAGAAGAGGAAGGAGAGCTTTCTTTTCATGTCAAGACAGGTACAGTGACTGATGACACCCCAGCAACCAACTCCTCCTACCCACAAAGTGATGCCACGTTGATACACGTTGACGTTATGTAAAGCGTGACCCTTTAGGCTCCAAGTCACACGGCTGTAACCACCTATCCCTGGTTTGCAGGGGAGCTTTGTAACCCAGCCCTGAGCAGCTCACAGTGTGCAGCTGCAGTCCCCTTGTCAGCCTTTCCCCAGGTCAACATTTGCAAGATTCAGGATTTTACAGGTATATCGAACTATTTAATCTTTGTAAAGTGTCATTTCACTGCCACGAGTGAAACAGAACAGCATGTTTTACTGGTTATTTGAATGAGTAGGCCGCTTTGCAATTGGCAGTGGGTCAACTGGAGGCGTTATCAGTCTGGTATCAGCTTTAGGCACAGCATGCAGGAGAGTGCACTCCTCTGATCTACAGCCTCACCACCACTTTTGTATCAAAATCATATTCAATATATCCACAGCTCATTCCACCCCTGACAATTACAGGGCATTTTCAGCTGAAACAAGGTCTTTAGGGTGCTACAGATCAGGACACAATTTAAAGGAAAGAGGTGAAGAAGGTAGGCTGGAGCAGTAACTTACCATGAGTAAAATATTTAAAATCCACTACAAATTTCACATATTCATACATCAGGGGTTCATTTGGATCTAAATTGCCTCTTGCTAAATGGCAGCAAAACTCTATTTGTTTTTCTGCTGAAATGAGAGAAAGAGAGAGACACAGGCAATGTTACTAAAAGTCTGCACTTTATCACACTCACGTACTGAATTTATCTAGGTGCTTACACCAACCCTGCTGCTGTGCTATCTGAGCACACTCTGCTGGGATGCTCTTAAAACCCCAAAGTAAATATATAAATACTAGGAGCAATTATCAGCTGGTTCTGCTTAAGGAAATGTATTCTCACCCTTTCTCCCATGGCTTTGCAGTCGCTCCAGTACTCCTGGTGTGAAGCCCTGGCTACACCGGTCAGGGGGATTTTCCCCTGACTTCATAGTTTGCAGAATTTCATGCAAAGCAGTTACATGCCATTGCAGTACTGTGCTCTGGCACTGCTCAGTAGGACCCAGATCCAAAGGGCACTGAACTCACCCTCAGCCTCTCCATTAACAGTGGACGGCACCGTGCCAAGCTCTCATCCAGTTTTCTGCCCCAAGTCTGAACTCTATGGATTAGACCACACGGCCTTCAGCCAGGGGGAAACCACCCTGAGGGCACAGCATCATCAGCACAACTTCCCACTGATGCTCCCGGGGCAGCAGGGAGGGGAGGCCAGTCCTGCTCAGCCATGGTGAACCCACTGGGAAAGGGGGATGCCAACACAGGCTTGGTAAAATGTGGATGATAGGAAGATGCTGCTGCCTGCTCTGGTGCTGGGGATGTTTTCTAGGAGAAATAGACATTCTGGGGGTGGGACAGCAGCCAGCAATACAGATCTGGATGGACTGTTCAGATAGGAAGGCTGATGTTTAAGTTACATTAGAGTTTCTCTTGTGTCCTGAGACATGCAAGCCTCCTAAGGAACATAGGCTCTGCCAAAACCCTTTGAGATTTCTCCAACCATTTTCCTTTCCCTAAGCCCTCACTCCTTTCTCAGGTTCAGTCCAACATCCCATCTGAGGAAAAACATCTAATGAGGGCAACTTCACTGTCCTATGGGACAAAGCAGATGGTAAAACAAAGTGTCCAAATCAAAGAGCAAGTACTGGGAACACATAGGAACATTAGCTGATGTGGTGCACCAAAACCCACAAATGCAGCAAAACAGCAGTGGCAGGCAGAAGAATTAAATAGCTGAAGAACCCTCTGCAGGCTTCCCTGGGACCTGTTTGTCTTGGGCAAACTTCCCTGACCGACAGACAAGAGCAGAGCTTACCATTTAGAAAATCAGCTGCAACAGGATCTGTCATGAGCACATGTGGAAAAAGGAGCTTGTACACTTCGCTCTGTTCCCGCTCAGGCAGAAAGTTTAATATATTTTGGTCCACCAAATCTGACTGATACAAAAGAATGCTTTGTCATGTTCAGCAGTACAGCCTGACACAACCACACACCTTTTCATCCCACAGCAGAGCACAGACACTGCTGCTCTAGCTGATGCCTAAGACAAGGAAGCCCAGTCAATCTGTAGATGAACCTAGGGCAGAACACAACCCTTAGATTATTTTACCCCAGGGTTAATATCTATTTCTAAAATGTTGAACAAGTCCCAGAGTTTGCCCCCTCAGTTCAGGGAGATGTAAGTGGGAGAAGAAACCCTGGTACCACAGGAATGTAACAAGATGATAAGTATCATTTCAAAATGAAAATGTGAAACATTTTCATTTGGAAGCATGACAGAAGCGAGAGAGCTCCTCCTCACATCCTCCATTTGTCTTCTAGGCCGAACATCTGGCAAAATCAGCTTAACCTGCAAGTGATTCAGTGCTGATCAACCCACACATCCTGACTAAAGGGGTTCTACCAAAATATCAGCACAGATTTGTTCTTTGCACACCAGGACATTCAGCTAACCAAGTGCTCAAATTGTTGGTGCCTCATGCTTGGCACCAGATAAAGAGAAAATGTTTTTGAAGGGCCAAGCTGAAATGTATGCACCTGACAGCTAACTGGTTTCTAGAAATACTCCCAGAAAACTCTGAGGCCACACATTTGTTACTCAAGACTATGGGCTAGAAGTAGGAAAACCCAATGTCATCAGAAGAGCATAGATTTAGTCCTAAAATAATATTTAAATTATCTAAAAAGAGCTTCAGCACCGATTTCACAACCATAAGATTTTCCATGCACCCGATGGGGCAAACACCTCCCAGACCATCCTTTAGATGTGCAGCCAAGTGATGAGCTACGGGTACAGTGATTTTGCACAGTTGATTTTTTTTTAGATAACTCATAGACCCTGAGAGAGAATCTGTTGTTCACATGAACTTGAGAAACTACCTAACAGTTTGTTGGTTAACCACCCCCCTCAGTCAGTTGCCTCTTTGGTGGGACAAAATCAATCCCCAGGCCTGCAATGGCAGGTTGCACCAAGGAGGGGAATGAGCTTCATGTTGAGTGGTCAGAACTTACCGGTAAGTGTCCGAGCAGAGATGAAACACTATCAGATACATAAATAATAATCCCATCAGTGGTAAGAGCGATGAGAAAGCCATCTAGTGCCTAATGATGATAGACAGAAAAAAAAAAAGAAAAAAAATAATTATGCAAGGTAACAACTTAGAATATAACAGACTAATTGATTCTTTAGTGATGCTTCAAACAGCCGAAACTTAGCAGAAATTAATCACGGAAATGATAGTTCAATGCGGAAAACCAAAAATTATACATGCTGCCTAATTCAACATTCTTTTTATATTCTTATTTGCTCATTATTGTTAAATTGACTTGTATTTTTCACCCAGTGAGCATTTATTTAACATGAAGCAAAACAGTGATGCTTAGAATTTTGACACCCACACAATCCCAGTGACTTCAGTCACTTCATTATGTGTTCTGAATTACACAACTGAGTTAACAAACTCAGTGCGTAAGGAGATGGTAGATATCATCATGGCAGACCCAGCACTGTGGATGGATGGGTGGATGGATGGATAAGGAGACACAGCAAAATGATACAATGATTTATTTTTAGCAATTTATGGACAACATGGAGAAGATTTAAAGCCTTATTTATTTTGATTAAGGTACTGGTTTGTAAGGCTAGTGACAGAACAATTTTAAGGCTTGTTTTGTTCCCCTTTCATGTTCACAGTGGTTTCTGCCCCAGAGTCAAAGCTCTCTGTCCCTTTTAAGTCACTGCCTGTGCTTTCCTCCTTGAGTGTTCTCCCTGTTCTTCACAACATCTCCTTGTACCATTTACTCAGTGTCTGTCCCTATTCTTCTCTAACATCAAGATCTGGGAGGTTTAATAGCTGGCCAGCACCGTGCACAAAGCCAGCTCTTCTAAAGGCACTGTTAGGCTGCTCTGCATCTTGGAGACAGGGAGCCAAAGATGCAGCACTCACCATCTGCCCCCACCTCACTGCCTTTGCTCAAAATAAGTCCTCTCTGGGAGAAAAAACAGTGACTGGAAGCAAACTGCTTAACTGGGTAAGTCTAACAAAGTCCAGCAAGCCATCAATTATTAAAGGGTTTGCTCTCCCCACCACTTTCCAGTCTAAGGGGGGGAATTTGTTTTGATTCAGCTGGAACAAGCAGCTTGTTTGGTGAGAGAGATTCCCAGAAAGAATGAACAGACTTTTCCAGGGAGGTGAGTCATGACATCCTGATGAAAAGGAGTAACTAAGACACTGCAGCACCTCCCAGTTCAGCCCAGCATACACCCTTATTTTGATGGGGCAAAGAGCAGCAGCTGCCCACACAGGGTAGGAGATGTCCTCTCCAGAGGAGCACGAGCACAGACCCAGAGTCACAGCCTTAAGAAAGGAGAAATGTAGGCTTGTGGGGTGTTTCTGGACCAGTGAAGCATTTTAGAGGTGGGAGTATGGGAGCTGTTCTCCTGAATGCACTTAAAGGCAATCTAAGCAATCCAAGCACAAGAGACAGCACTCGCATCACAAGTACAGCAGCTCACAGCAAGCAGCTGCAGAGGCAGCAGAGCTGAAGCTGCCTGGCTAATGGGATGTGGGAGGAAGAGAGCTGCTCTGCTTTTTTCAGGTCCTTTCAAGTTTTCTCTAAAACTGCTAGCTCTAGCAGCTCTTCTGAGATGGGAAATTCTCCTTTTCCTCTCTCACCAGGCCAAAACTGGGCCAAATCAGCCTCTATCCCTAAATGAAAAGCCGTTCATCTTTCAGGGGAAGCAATCATTTTTTAATTCTGTGTCTGAAAAGCACATTTAGCACATTGGTCTCTGTCAGATTTGTATTGTATGTGCCAGCAGAGTAGAAATCATTAGCATTGGGACCTACAGGTGAAAAGGAACTGTGCATCTCTGAACTACTCCACTGGACTGATTGCTTCTCACTAATCTGTGCAGCTTTAATTTCTTCTTACCTCTAACATCAACTGGGTGAATTCCTCGTTGCTAAGAAATGAAGGCTTCCAGTCTTGTCTAATCTCACAGGCTTCTGTCTGTGCTGTGATTTCTTAAAGAGAAAACATCAAAAAAGCAACATGACTCATGCTACTTAGATTTTTTTTTTCCTTTTCAAGTAACACTAGATTTCTTTAAAGAGGGGTTTCAGAGGAATCATCCACAGATCTTCACACAAACCCTTCTTGCATGCAACAGTCGTTTTCTATGCCATCAAGATACAAATACATTAGAAATAAAGAAAGGGAAATGGAGAAATTTTGGGTGGTCTGAATATGTCCTTCAAAAATTATGGTCAGTGGACTAATTTCAGAGTAGTAGAGCATTCCTGTGAGCAGGGGGTGTTTGTGACTCTGGAGCTGTTTCAGTAAGGGTCTCAGGAGTGCCCAGGCAGCAGGAAAGGCTGCACCCAGCCATCTCCTAATCCAGGAGACCTGGGAGCATGGCATAGAGTCCCCTTTCCCCTCGCTTTTCTAGTGGGTGCTGTTCCTCAGGTTTTCCTCCCCCATGCTCTGTTTGAGTGTGCAAAGCAGGGCAGGGGATGTGGAGGCCAACGAGGGAAACGACGTCTCTACATTAAAGAGAATCTTTTCAAATCTATCTGTATTTAACTGGTCAGCACTCTAGCCCATTTCCTGAGGCCAACTCCTGTGCCTTATTCTGCCCCTCAGGCTCATGCCCTCTCTGGAGGTCTGAGATGCTTGGGAAAAAGAGTTTTCATTTTCTATCTGAAAAGGAAACTGTCCGCTGGGCAAATGCAGAGCCAGCAGCCTCCAGTACCTTTCTGTTTCTGTAGGAAGTCGATGGTCCTCTGCAGTATTGTGGACTTGTCCATCTTGAGAGGGTGGCCATGGCCCTGCAGCATCGTGCAAAGCTCTTTAATGAGGACATTGAACTGGTCTCTCCTCTTCTTTTCAGATTTGTTGCGTGATGCCCTGAGCGACAGGAACATAAATGCCACTAAGCAGAATGAAAGACCTGCAGCTCGAACCAGGGTGAGGCAAAGTGCCCTGTCCCTGCAAAACACCGTGTCAAGAGTCTAGCTGCAGAAACACAGGCTAGTTTCCAGCTCACATTAACACAATTTAAGAATGTTTCATTAGGGCTTTCCCCTCCATTAAAAACAATAAAGGAGGAGGCAAATCCATTCAGTTTTCTTTCCAATGCTCGTATCTGAGAGAACTCTATTTTCATACCTCTTACAGGAGTAATTAATTTGCTTTACAAGTGTATTCATGATGATACATACTTCCTGTGATCTAGACTGAGTTTAGTATGCAGAAAGCATTTCCATTCATATTCCAGTTGGCATTTGGAGGTTCTCAGATCCAGCATTTACGTTCACAGCCATCTCTGTTTTGGCACTCATGTATGATGACTAATTAGAACTGAGCCAAATGCTTCTCTGACGGAAGACTAACTCATACTCATGCTAAAGCAGGACTAATCTCTAAGTTTCATGGGGAACTCTCCCCCAGGTGGGCAGTACTGCTTGATACCAATAAAATCTCAGGTCAGGAGTCCTGCATCAAGATAATAAATATTTATCATGGGATAACATGAGAACCTGAGGGGACAATAAAGTAATTTAAGGATGACTCAGTCGAATAATCCATGGTAGGAGTAGGCAAACACTATGAGAAGCCTCAAAATGGTGACTTAATTATGTTGTGTAAACTGCATGGGGGCTTTGCCATCAGTACTGTCAAGTACTTTGTCAAGCACTGGACAACACAGCATTTACAGTTCTCCTCCAGGCATGGATCCCAACATACCTCTTTGCCCTGTCCTTCTCATCTTCATCCATCAGTTCGTTTACACAACACAGGGCTCTGGAAGGAAAAGACAGAAGTACTTACTTAAATATATTTCCTGATCTTGCTAAGAATATCAAAATATGGAGCTTACTGGTTTGTACTTCAAGGCCTCCAGGAGGTTTCAATCTTCCCTTTCCCAAACTTCACTCTTGTTATGTACTTCCTTGCTTGTTCAGTCTGCTACTGAGACTTGAGAAGTGAAGCCGTTGCTACACTCCCGTACAACTACAATAACCACGGCTCTGGAGGGAATGAGCTGCAAACCAGCAGCCCTTCAGCCTGCCTTTGTGCTCCCCTCTGCACCAGGATAGGGAATCCTGCTGGAGCACTGAACTCTGCACAGGAGTCAGCATCTTCCCTGCAAATGTGAGAGCTGATTTGACACTGATGTCTGTACCAGGCACCACCTCGCCTGGCCCTGTTTTGGGAAATCGCAGGCTGCCAGTTGATTTCAAGCACTGCACTGCTTGAAATGCATCTGAGACTTCTTTCCCAGTGGAAGGACATAGGAGAAAGAAAGAAACTGTGCTAATCCCCTAAAGGATTAGTATTAGGCAACAGCAGGGTACTGTCAGGATATCTAAGAGATGATATGATAGACAGGTTCATCCAAAGCATCCTGCAGCCAATGACTGCTGCTTGAGCTGGTGGACTTCCCCCCCATCATCTGAGCTGCGTCCTAGCATTGGGATTCACTCCCAAGACTTCAAATTGAAATTTCCTCACCTGGCACTAAACAAGGAAAAGAAGGTAATGTGACCAGGGTTCCCCAAGCTCTATATATTCCTGCATCAGAACAGCCATTGTGTGCTGCTGCCTTCACCTTACCTGTTCTTGCAGCACAGGTAAGGAGAGCAGTAGGCAACAACTCCCTGTAAGGACACAGTACTCTCAGGCCCCATTAAATGATGGAAAAGTCAACACAAGTGTAACTTCTTGACTGGTGTCTTGCTTTCTGTGACTCAGATGGGCTAAGCCCGAGGGAGGGGAAGCCAGGCGGGTGCAGGTGAGACAGCTGCCGTCACTCCACGCCGCGTCACCCGGGTCAGCTCTGCTGGGTTTTACCTCCCTCAGACACCTTCAAAAAGGAAACCGCACCCCTAACCAGCATCAGCACCAATCTGCCTCCATCTCTAGCGAGCACTTTCCCTGCAAAATCCTCCCACGTTGCCCAGCACCCAAGGGGCATTTTTCAATAGGTGCATCCAAAAGATTTTTTCTGTTTTGAGACTACTCCAAGATCAAACAACTTGGTGGCTATACAAGGAGCACAAAATAAAACCACCCACAACTGACAGGATGTCAAAGATGCTGCTCACAGTAAAAACTACAAAATTTTATTCTTCCTTCCCTGCTCCAGGGCAAGGATCTCCCTCCCTGCAGATGACCTGGGCAGAAGAAACTGTATGGATTCTTTTGTTACAAAATATGAACGCACTCCATGGGGAGGGAGTGGTTCTTACTGCTTGAGTCACCAAAAGCTACAAGCCAAATTAGAAATTACCTGTTCTACTCCTCAGATTCATCAGTCCAGACTGACAGAGTGGGATTAGCACTTCTTATCACCATGTAAATAGAGACGGAGAAAAATTAATCCTGGAATGAAAAGCAAGTCCAGTTAAAACACAGTTGCAGGCAAGACATCCTAAAGAGCAGCAATCACTTCAATCTGAGAAAAGTCTACCACCACAAATTAGAAACATGCTCAAGTATGACTGATGGAACCTCAGCAAAGCCTCCAGCAGTGGGAGCTGGACCAAATTCTTGGGCTCCTGGCCGAGAACTGTATCTGTGGGCACTACTGCTACCACAGAAGCAGCCTGGGAAAGCCAATGTGACCTCTCATGAGCAAAAAGCCATGTGGCCCAGCGGGGAAGGACACACAAGAAACTGGCTGGAAAACTGCTACAAGGGACATATGTCAGGCGAGTGCACTGGAGAGGGCAGCCAGGACAGGGTGGGGACATTGTGTGGCTGAAGCTTAACACCATGAGCTACACAGATCCTGCAGAGTGATACGGTGACAGGACTTGCAGAGGAAGTTTAGGTGAGTAACTCAAGAAAACAGTTCAAATTCCTGTTCACTGCCAATAAATGCAATTATGTCAGTCCGTGTGCTGAAAAAAAAAATTGGCTCAGATAAAGTGATACAGTCACTGTAAACAGTAATATGGAAGTTACTGCATGAGGATTGCACCTTCTGACACAGCAGAAGTACAAGGGTAAAATATAAAATATCTGATGTATTTCAGTGGTAAGCGAACCGGTAAAAAATGGAGTTGGGATGAAGGGATTATTTTCAGTTTGGAACATGAATTTTCAGGGATAATATCACACAACTCCTGACACCCTCAGTGAAGCTGCAAATGAAAACAACACCTGAGTAGCAAGTTTAAACTCAGTGGATCTGCTCTGCTTCTGTTCTCTCAGCAATCATGCGCTGGTCAAGTTACACGCTTTTATTCCAGTTCAAAAGGAGCGTGTGATCTTATTTGTTACCCTAATGAGCTACTGCAGAGCCAAGGTGCTTATCACAGTCACTGCTGCTCATCCATCAGTGCTGTTCTACCACAACCCTACAGCTGTTTCTCCTCTAGAAGAACAACCCCTACAGAAGTTCTGGCGACCTGTGATAAATTCAGACATACGTAGATATAAAGAAAACTCATTTTAAAGCGATGGGTTAAATTATGAAAAAAATGCTTGTGGATACACAAACAGATCTACCAAAATTTTTCAGGGAACCTTCTTTGTATCCAGACTTAAGTATGCAAAAATTCAGCCTAAGAAAAGGATTCTTCCCAAGCTTGGAGTGCAAAGCTTTATGTAGAAACTTTGCCCATATGCTGTCCAACAACTGAAAACTCCTGGGAAGCCTGTCGGGTTTTCTGCCTCGTTCACATGTTTGGCCTGCCAGCCAGCTTGAACAGCAGCAAGCTGAGGGAAGTTGTTAGGTCACCAAGAGAGTCAACAGTCCAGTTAGTGCTCACTGAGTCTAAACTGGGGAATGCAGCTCGGATCCTCCCGTCTCCTGCAGCAGTTATCACACCCTGCCCCAGCAGTGCTGGTGTGAGCTGCCAGGGGCAGGGGGGGAAATGAGGCTTCCTAAGGGATGTGAGCAATGCCCTTGGGCAACACCAGACTTCGAGGTGTTAACAGAACAAATGGCCATAAAAGAATTCACAGGCCCAAACACAAAGAGAAGCTTTTTGCATGATGCAGCAGGATGGTGAGCTAGAAAAAGTCTTAGTAGAAGACACCTAAGGACAGAATATTCTTAATCGGATTAAGCACTTCAGGACTACATTTAGCTAAGTGCTTTTTGTCTTGTTATGAGACAGAGCTAAATATAGTAACCAGAATACTTAAGAATAGTTTCATAAGGGTTGTACACACTCCTCAGCCAGATAAGGCACTTAGCACTACTGACAGCAGTATGTCTGCAGGTTAAGACTATTTTAAATAGCTCCAGATAGAATCTCTTTGACCTTAACTGTTTTAACCAGAGGGATCAAAATTTATTTATTGCCTACTGAAAATCCTCTCCTTCCCTTAGACAGAGGGATTCCTGAACTCTGTGGGCAGGTAAAGAGGAAACTAGTCCATGTTGCTGGCATCATTTCTCACCCCACCTACAACAGGTGAGGATCAGCCTTCTCACAAAGCAAGGCACATCCATCACGCTTAATGCCCTCTGTAAAAGGAAAAGAATTGTTTTCTTTCTTTGTACAGGGAGTCTCAAAAAACATTCATAGCATTGTAAGGGCATGTTATGGTTTAGACTTTTCAAATACCACAGTATTTGAAGTTGTTTCCAGGGTTACAGAAAGGGTAAAATGTAGCCAAATGACAGCCTTAACAAGACAAATGGACTTCACAAACACACAGCTAATAGTTAAAGCATTACTCCATGCTATCTGCAATATTCTGGCCCATTTTCTGCTGAAGAGAAAATGGAAGGGGGAATTTTTTAAAAAATTATTTGTTTTGCAGAACTGTCTGACTTCAGGAGCTATCTAAAACTGCAAGCTTTTGATTAAAGAAAATGTTCATTTATTGGCTTGCTGCAAATCATCAAAATATTAACATTACCTTAGGATAACTCTTAATGGAACATCACATTAGTAAGAATTATGCCCTGAAACCAACAGTTCCTATGAACACTTCATTATAGATTTAGTTTTAATTATTTGGCTTTGTCACTAATGGCAAGGCAAAGATCATTCTATGTGTGATGCTGCCCCTCTCCTCATGATCAGCAATGAATGAAGCTTTCATTGGTCACCTAAAAAGGGTCTCTGAACCCAGATGATTGATTGCTTTTCCCAACTATAGCAGCTTGTCTAATGAAAAACATTCACTGTGCATAAAAACTTTGTTTTGCTTGTATTTAAATTTTCATGGAATTTTTCATTTCAGTAACACACAGCAGTAAGGGACTCTTCAAATCTGCAATGTAGGAATTATTTTAATTATGGAAATGTGCTGTGATAATAATTTCCACAGATTTTACACGCAATGAATTCATCAGAGAGCCCTCAATTACAAGATGCAGCACTGTGTGGCACAATGCAGCCATAAATAAGGGAGTTAATGCATTCTCCAGCAATATGATTTATATGTCAGTGTGCCAATGTTTCGTTCTTCTTGAGGCAACAGGAGGGCATGACTGTGGTTGGCAGCTAAACAGCTGATTTAATTTTTAAAAGACAGAATTTATCCTCCTCAGTAAAGTGCTACTGATTCAACAACAAGATGCTTATGCAAATGGCATCTGAAACACCAAACAGTGCGGCTGAATCTTTATGGCTGTTTAGCACAGAAAGGATCAGCATCTCTGCTGATGCCCAGGAGCACCAGAGCCCTGGCCTGGTCCTGTGCCACCCCTCTCCTGTCATATAGAGTGTGGAGGAAAGCCATGGCAGCGGCTCTCACAGCCCTCCTCTGCAAAGGCCTTTCTCTTATTCTGAGCAGTCTCAACAACAAACTTACCCACGTTTGGGACAAATGTTTGGAGTGGGCAGTAGCAGCAGTAGCTGCTCAGCACAGCTGTAGCATTCCCCTCCACCTGAGAATCCCACAGGACACAGCCTCACCACAGCTGTCACAGCTTAGTGTGAGAGCACCACACAGACATGCAAAGGCTAAAGCAGGTGTGGCAGTTGCACATCTGCGTTATTTGATCTGCTTGCTTAATTTTTTCTGCTTGCATTTCACCCTCTACTTTTCCTTGCCATGCCTTGCCTTCTGTTGTTCTTCACTCTTTCCTGACCTTCTTCCACTTACCCCCCTTAATTAACATCTATTGGACTGCAACTCAGAGAATGAGATCTTTCTTGAATGTGTTTTCTCTCCATCTTGTTATTTCTTATATCACCTCCCTTCACCTTTCCACTGCTGCTGCTTCTCTGTGCTCTTCACTTTCCCCTTCTCCAAAGAGAAAAAAAATCTTTCAGTGATCTCAGTTTTGACAATCACTCAGCCCTTTCACTGTGGGAACTTGACTTTCCCAGGTCTGAGGCACACACAGCTCTCAAGCTCTGTTTAGGGAGACACTGCCTTAGGGATCATGCTAATGGGGATCTGATGGGTGTTGGCTCCCACGCCACACTGGCTTCAGGAGCACTGGGTCCTGTCCTGCCTGATAGTTCCCAATCCCAGTTTCAGACCCTCTTTTGAGGAACTGGGATCTCCCTCAGTTCAGTGGTAGTGCTGTGCAGCTCCAAACTCGACAGAAAACACCACCCTACATCCACACCACGGGATGGCTGAGGGAAGTGGTCCAGCACAGCACACCCATCCATGGCAGCTGACACATCCTGTCAGTCTTTTGGAGTGTCACAGCACACACAGACATGCCATGACTGTACTTATATTTTCACACAACCTCTCTGTTTACTGGAACATGGGTGATGGTGGTCAGTCGGCGAGGGAACCAAATGTTCTGTGTTCCCCCTTTGTTAACCTGTCAGAAGTGGACTTGTGCCACTACGGTAACTACTGCATCTCAATGCACTCACTTATCTACAGCCTACTCTCCCCTGGTTTATTGAGCTCTAAATTTAGCTTGTTACCTGTGACAGATTTATAACTACATTCATTATAACAGTATCAGCTTCAGACAGAAGCTAAGAGGTGCCCAAAGAAAACGGATTATACAAAACAACTACGCCATAAAAAAAGACTGTATCAGAACACTGTGATTCAGCACAGAAGTGAAATAAAAGATACAGGGAGGAAAAACAGTGATGTGTTGGGGTTTTGTTGGTTTCGGTGTTTGTTTGGTTTTATTTACCAGCGTATGGTGTTTCTGACAAAAGAAAGGCAGAAAAAGATGAAGAACTAACAGATACTCGAAAACAAAAGACGAGTGTAACGCTTTGTTCTCTAGGATTTTTGTCAGATCCTGGTGAAAATAGCTGGCCAAGTTTGTTCTGTTCTAGCAAATTACTGAACCTTGCAGAGTAAAGAGACAACATTGTAGAATATTATTCATGATGTCTCTGGGGTTTCTGTAACAAGAAGAGCATGCATCTAATTAATTCTACCAATTTGTCTAATAGCCCCTTAAAATTCTCAAAGCACGGCAAAATGCA